GTCATTTAAACGTTGGCTGGGGAATTCTGGGAGTTGAAGTCCACTCATCTTAAAGTGGCCAAGTTTGGACAACACTACACCAGCGGTTACTCTGGCCCTTGCTATGTTTTGGAAACCTACCTATCGACAGGGTTAAAGGCTTGCAATATGTTTTTTCATCCAAATAAATGATTATGCTTTTTTACAGATATGATTAAAGCCTGCAATACGTTTTTCAGCTAAATAAACGATTATCCATTTGTCGTTGTCCCTGAGAAAGGTTTCCTAGATGCTGTATTTTGTGTTCTTTTATGATTTTGTTTTTATGATTTCTCTGAATCTTGGTGAGATAGTCAGGTCCTAAATTCCCATCCCTTATACCCTGTGGCAGAAAGCAGATACACTGGGATAGGTATGTAACAAAAATATTATTATTCAAGGGACCACCTTCCATAATGCTACTTTTTGCTTATGGCAGCAGCTCCAGTTTTTAGTTTTTTTGTTTTTGGTCAACCCATATTGCTTCTGACTCTTTTCTGATTTATGGGTTCAAAGCAGATTTACTTAAAAGTGCAGTATAGAGCAGTGTTTCTCAACCTTGACAACTTTAAGGTGGGTGGACTTAAAGTTCACCGTGGCTGGCTAGGGAATTCTGGGAGTTGAAGTCCACCCATCTTAAAGTTGCCAAGGTTGAGAGAGATTGGTATAGAGAGAGAAATGAAATAGGCCATGCAGATTCCTGGATTGCTTTACATTCAGCCTGACTCAGGACAGTCAGATTGTAACCTAGTTTATCTGAGAGACCCCAGTTTGGGGGGAAAAATGTTTATAAGAATAGTCACATAGTCAGTGATTGGAAATACAACCGTGAATCCAGTTCATTTCATAATTTTAATGTTTTTAAGTACCCCACTCACTGCTTCTCTCACAGGTAACATAGGTGAAGTTTTAAAATGCTTAGAACTTGTTTACTCATGATGAACTTAGCCATTGTTTACTCAACCCACTGAGTTTGCATGGATGGGCTTGCATAAGAAGCGAGCCAGAAATGCGGTTTCAGTTTTTTGGGTTGTGCAAGTCCAGATACTGAATTACCACAAGATAGGGACAAGCGTAAGTTACAGAGATATCCCGTAATTCTTTCACCGATTTTCAGGGAAGATTGTAACAGATACATCCTTCAGCAATGGAGTTTCTTTAATTGAAGCTGGTTCCTAATAAATTTTGCAAATGTTTGACTGGATTCACCCATCATGTTTAAATTAGTTTATTGAATAAACACTGGTGGCTGTGATCACACAACACGTAAGCCCTTTAAGCTTACAAATCAAAAGAGACTGGCTTCCTATTTCGCTGCAAGCCGTAAGGCGGTGCGATTGAATTTGGCTTGTCAGGATCCATGAACAGAATATCCACCTTTTCCCTTTCTCTTAAGAAGACTCTCTGCTTTTGGGCAGAACTTTTTAATGCATTTTCATGCTGTGCCTTTCGGATTTCTGTCTGATAAGCAGCCATTCGTGGCATAGGTGACTTGCCAGTGCAATGGCTATTTAGAGCTAATCCTCTTTCAAAAAAAAACCTAAACAGCAGATGGGAATCCTGGGTTTGTAGCTGTTGCTGGTTTTCCAGAAGCAGTTCGCCCTTGCTTGTAAGATGGAGCTGCATGGCTAATGACTTGGCTATCTGAGGAACCACCTCTCCCCATATAAAACTTTCTGGCCACTAAAAACTCTTGCAAAGCCTCTAGCTGGGCACGTAGCCTCATTCCTACCTAAGAACAGGGTCCCCTCTCACTTAGCTATCCGATAGGGGGGCAAAATACACCCCTTTTGAACTGCTGTGAAGTGTGACTTCATTGACAAACCTTGTAAACTGAAGACCCAGTCTGGCTGGGTTCTGCGATTTTGTTAGCAAGTACCCCTATCTCACAGGAAATGGATCCTGCATTAAGTGATAGCTGTAAGCAAAGATCATTTTCCTGTGTTCTCTAGAGAGCTTCTGAGGGAGCAATGGAGAACTTGAAGAGACTGATCTGTTTTTCTCTGGCACATTTGACTTGCTTGCAAACTGCCATGAGTTGGCCTGATTTGGTGGTGTACAAATACGATGAATAAACCTGTATCTCTGTAAATAAACAAATTACAAAATTACAAAATAAATATACTGCAAAATACTAATTAGCCTCCAGTGAGTTTCTTCTAAAGGAAAACAAACCCTGGAAAACAGATTGCAAGGCTAGACCTCATCTGTTGGAGAAACAGGCTGTGTGCAACAGTGACAGATCACACATCACAGTGGCTGGTTTGGTTTTGCCTAACAATATCATTTT